TAACAGTTCGATTATTGTTCTAGTCCATAGAAATTGGCTAGACTAGTAAGAATATTACTTAAGTGGCTCGCAGTAATTATTTATTAATTTTTGTAATATGTATGTTGGTAATAAGTAATTTAATTAATAGTGAGCTCTGCTTAATTTGGGACTAGATGGCGCAGTGTGACTTATCCTGAGATATTACTATTATAATAATAATAATAATAATCTCAGGACAATTCACACAACGCCGTCTAGACCCAATTTAAGCTAGCTCAAGCTTGTGTTATGGGTCTAGTATCCATAACACAAGCAATAACTGATACAAATACATAGATATATATTTTTTCGTAAATACATACATATTAGGTACATAGAAAACAACCAGACCGATACAAACAATCATACTTATGAATACAAATGTTTATGCCGTGCGAGGAATCGAACTCGCGACCAACGGAAGTAAGAGCTGTGTGCTAAACCACTAGACCACCGAGGTCAATTTATTTAATTAATATTATTATTTTTCATATTCTCAGCTTTTGCTGGTATGTTAAGTTTTGTGCTGTTTATTATTATTCACTATTAAAAATTCGACGACTCCACAGTATATTTTCAATACCAATAACAGTATAGAGATAATTCATACCTTATAATATTATAAATTAATATATTTCATATACAAAACTCTTTATTACATTAAAATGCACAAATGTAAAGAAATTGCAGGAAATGGAGGCAGTATCAAGAATTGCATTGCAACAGAATACTACAGAGGTCTCCTAATATATATGTATTTGTATTTTGCTATATTCATGGCATTTTACCGACGTCGATTCTCTAAAAGTCGTCCGTGTCTTTTTTACCTATTTTAGCTGCCATGCAGCTTGCTTTGTATGCTATCTTTCAGTTTAAAGATGACAAGGCAGTGAAATTACATAACATCTTAGTTCTTGATAATGACTTCGTATGATAACTTGATGGGAGATGATGAGAGACGATCTTACCATCAAGCAGTCCATTGGCTTCAATGCCTTTACGATTACATATAATAATATCATAAACTATTTTTTATTCGCCTCGGTGGTCTAGTGGTTTAGCAAACAGCTTTACTAACCGATGGTCGTGGGTTCGATTCCTCACACGGAACATTTGTATTCATAAGTATAATTGTTAGTATCGGTCTGGGTGTTTTATATGTATAATATATATTTATTTACAAAAAAAAAATGCATCCATGTATTTATATCAGTTGTCTAGTACCCATACCGCAAGCTCTGCTTAGCTTGGGACTAGCGTTGTGTGAATTGTCCAGGTTCATCATTATTATTCATTAAAAAAATATTATTAATATCGACTTGGATTATACTTAATCTTGGCCATGGTGGCTTAAAGAATTTTTTACTCAAAAAAGGCTAATTATATACAGTATCATTGTTTGCTTATTTGCATAAGTAAAACGGCAATCTAATATCTTAAACAACAACCCCGCTATCTGGGACGGGTTTTTTCCCCTAATAACGGACGCTAGTAATTTACACTTAACTTAATCTTATAATCGACCAGAAAATTAGCATAAAGTCTGTACAGCGAAATTAAATTTTAGGTTCACTCGCTCCAGATTACTGTATAATTTAGTAGTTTATTCGTTCCTTTGGGGAGGGTTTGGTATTATCTAGTTATTAACACAATTTGTTTTCATCTCACTTATTTTGTTACTGCTGACTAATATTAATAATGAACCGCTTCTTTATTCCTGTTTAATCTAGTTTATAAGTCTTCAATAATTTATTAGATACAGCCGACCGCCCCAACATTGTACAGGTGCAATATCGTAGGGATCTTTAATTGAAAATATAATTCACTTTATGTTATTCGCTAATGATATAGTTTTCAAGGACTTTTTTATATCTGTTCATTATTTTTTGAGTTTGTCCATTACAAACAAAGCTTTCTCTTTTTTATTTTTTTTAATATTAAGATGAAAATATGTTTTCTTTACCTATACTCAAAATAATAGTAATTTTTCTGAAATATTCTTAAAATATTATATGATCCTGTTTATGTCTATTCTCTCAGATAAATTATAATAATGCCTAATATCATTATCATAAGGAAGACATAGTAGAATGCTTTATAGTATATATTTCTTACTTTCCATAAACTACCAGAAAAAGGAGCACAAAAAAATGTATTTTAACTAACCGAACACTTCAGCAACCGCACCTTTTTGATTTATGAAACATAAAGCTGGCAATAAAATTTTAGGAGTGTTTACCAACATAAACAAAACAATTTCTTATCTCAAACCATGATTGCCCAAGACGTTACGACCTGGTACCAACTTGCCTTCATAAAAATATAAAGTGTGATAAAAAGAGGTCACATTACTCCCATTTTAATACGGCTGGCGGCGATGAATAGTACAAATATTTCAGAAGTGAAAGCTCGTCACGTAGAGGGCCCACCTCCCTGGAGGTTCGGGAAATGCCAACGCGTGCTTCGCCCCGATATGAAATGCTCAGCGCACAGATATCATTCTTACTGGAAACTTTCAATATATAATTAAATACACATATTTTATTACATCTATACTTATATATGTATAAAGTTTAGAGATTTGTTATGTGAACAGTAAATGAAACGAAAGCCACAACTATACATAATAAAGATATAACCGATTACTGAGGTATAAAATATACTGTAAATACTTCTGCAGTATCGACTCGTATTTCGCCAGCAAACAGTTTGTTTTGCAAGCTGTTTTAGATATGAAGGTTGCAATATGGGTATACGCTGGAACTTACTTGGTACAGACATGACACTTTAGTCCTCCAGAATAACGACGCATGGGTGCCGAATGATGGGGTTTCCGTGATTACTACCACTTACTATCAGGTAGATCGTTGACTTGTATATAATATGTCCATATAATGTCTGAAAACATTTAATTTAAATTGTTTTCTATGATATTATTATGATATAATGAAAAATAAAGTTTGTACATTATAACATATCCAACCTTATACGAGCGCGCTTTTGTTCCCATTATCGCATTGAAGACCTGACGGCGGCTAGGAACTTCGCATCAAGGCGTTTGTCTTCCGTTTCCTGTGCAAGGGACACTGGGTACACTTGCAAAATTATTCTTATAGTGTTATTTTTAATAATAACAAGGAGTTTGGATTACGCAGTCTCTTCTTGCAGCTGTATCTCTAAAGCTATAGGTTTATATACCAGATACCGTTGTCACGGAATACATTCAGGCGTGCGATTTTAACGTTGTCGTCTTGCCTAACCAGGAACTCGGAGTATCGGTTGAATTTGTGCATTTTATCTCCATCTACCAACTTTTGATACGTTTGTTTTGTTTTGTTTTAATCAATTATAATTATAACTATGATATCGCCGTCTAGTCATAAACTAAAGAAAACTTGTAATATGTAGGCATATACATAGTTATACAACTTCTGTCACTTACACTGTGGGCTCGAACGAAGTCGAGGTAAGGTAAGAATAAATATGATTTAATGTATAAACCTCTATACAAATCATAGTGCTTGATAGAGTCTGTAATGATATTGCGTGTGTGTAAGAAATCTTGTGTCATCCTAATAACAGAGTGTAATAAATATTTCTATTATTAGGATGTTATTCTGTTTAATTTTGATATACTATTGAGTCATCGCAAGAGGAGAGTCAAATTATTATTAATAATAATAATAATAATAAACTCTTTATTGTGCACATAGAAAAAATACAATAAGAAAAAAAAAACAATAAATAGAAAATTATGAACAAAAGGCGGTCTTATCGCTTATTATTCGCCACGATTACAATTGTTTTATTAACGAGTCCTATTCATTATTACCTCTATTCTCAAATATTATTTTATACACATTATTATACTCACGTAGCAATAAAAGAAATGAATATTGTTAACATCTAGGTTGTTTGTACGAGATAGCATTTAGCAATAAAGTAATAAGGATTTATGTTAAGCACATTTATAGTGTTATTATAACCTTTTTAGTGTGCTCTAAAAAGTTTTACTATTACCATATTTTCAATTATTTTACAATCATTTATACGTTGTTTCTCTGAGAAAAATTAAAATTCTCACTATCCCCATATTATTTAAAAATATTTACAAACAACTAATATTCACAAGTTTATGTTAATTGCCTGGTCGATAATAAGATTAGGTTTAGCGTGAATTTCTGGCGTTCGTTATTAGGGTGAGAAAAAGGCTGTCTCGTTATCCGAGCTTGTTGTTTCGGTGATTACATTGGAAGATCCCTTGGCGCGTTTTTCGTGCCTTCAACGGTTGGTTGGCAATACGCAATTTAGGTTCGAAGCACACATCCCACGCTCTACATGACTATTATGTAGATTAAAATCCACAAATTAGCTGCCAATTGTAGGAATAAATATATTAGTAGCATTTATGCTGTATATTCAATGAAGTTAACTACATGTTACAGAAGGAATGTTTTATTTATCTCAATATAGATAATATAGTTTAAGAAACAGGATGGACGTATTTTAAACTTTCATATAAAGTTGATCACGTGATCGCACAGTTTGTATCAAGGTTTTTATAATTATTGTATATTTTCCACTTTTCTTGGCGATTTCTTTCAGTTCGTATAGTCTTTACAAGTATCTCTATAGTTCAGTTAAACATAAACATACTATATGAAATGTTCATTAATTAAATAATAGCATGCAATTGATGCAATGTGATGAACGGTACGGTATTTTACCATAGTGAAAATCTTCTCTTACACCTGTTGTTGTGGTGTAAAATATTGAAACCCAAAAATGTTCGCCTACATTTCGTAACCAACAAGCGAAAGTAGTGAATGAAAATATCCGCAAGTACTAGACAAGATCGGTCGACTATTTGTCTGTTCATGCGCGTGCAGACAGAAGTAAGCGCTTGAAGCGCTTGCGCGCAGCGTGACGAGGCAGCGGCGGGAGGCGCCGGGCACCCGTTCCCCGCAGTCGACCGCGCTTGTCTCCACGATTAGCCGCGCCACCGCGTCCCGGCGCCCCTCCCCGCGACCCACACGTCAAAATAACAAATTGATTTATACCCAAACACAAACGAACTTAACCGAAAACTTACATGATGTTCAGTGCTCCAACGAACTTCCCGTTGTTCGAGTATCAAGATTAATGAGTTGGAGTTACAACGGTTTATGCATAAGTTCGTTGTTTACAACTTTTCAGTGATGTGAATACCTAGGTAGGTCTTAAAATTACTACTTCCATAATTTCTTAATTTTAAGTAGATTTGAAAATGAAAGGAAGTTTGCATAATACTAGAATAGACAATTACAATATCTGATATTATCATGCAAACAGCTACATGGAGACTTCATAACTGAAAGTCTTCCCAATAAATCATCAGAGGAAACTACTGAATTATATACATCCTATACTAAATTAATCATCGAAGATCATGCTTCCAATGTAGGCTATATGTCTGGTCTATTTAGATACTTAGTGGTTCCAATGTTTCCAACAAGCCTGTAATCTGTCATGGTAAAGTGACACAGGGATGAATGATCGCAAATATTTTCAGGCCTTTGTGCTAGTTCGGTGTAATTTGCTGAATCACCGTGACAAAAGTGAGTTAATGGATTTCCCCTTAGATCAGCGTAAATAAAATATGAATTTGAATATTGAAACAGATATTGAAAAAAAAAATACATGTCGTAAAAATGTGCATAATATGTAGAGTCATAAGAACACAAAATCTACAAAACACTGTAATCACCAGCAATTTTAGCAACTAATTTAAAAAAGAAAACGTATCAAACCAGTAACTAAAGATTATATATTTAATTACTGGATTAATAGATATCTTTAGACCTCTAAAATCTATATTGGACTAATATTTTATACGAAAAATATTATAATATTCCTAATAATAATTAATATAATTCCTATCAGACCGGTAGTTAAGAACGTATTGCTGTGTTACTGCACAAAGACTGTTGATCAATATACTATGCGAGTCACAAACTGAACGTAGTAATTTATGTCATTATTAGAAAGTAAATCTAATATTATTAATGCTATAGATTACCTGCAACTTCGTCTCCATGTCTTTTGATTGGGAATTAAGTTAACAGTATATGATATATAATATAATTGATAGATTGATATATAGTAACTTACAACCTTTTAGGTTGTAAGTTACTACGTAGTTAGTTTGGGCTATTGTTTACTTTATTATTGTAAATTAAGCTGTTAAAAACAGCTTAAGTTCTATGATTACTAATCATTTTAGATTATAAATTGTTATTGCGATGTTAAATTTCTTTAGGTAACAAGACATCAGGATAACATCAGGATTACTGCGGATTTTTTTTGAAACTTTTACTAATTAATACCGTGTTGTCTTTTGAGACATATTCTTCAAAGAAAAACCTTTTCTAGCTTGATTTATATTGGTGGCAGTATCACTAACGAAGAGAAAACATTTATATTTAATGTATTATTATGTAATATTACGTTATCTTTGGTATTATTAAAAATAACATTCAGTTATGAGTAATAAATAATTTGGTCAATGCAAATTAGATTTCACCACATTCTAATAAGACTACGACATAAACATTGAAATAATATCATAAGCAACTTGGTAATGGTACAAACTAACATAATTTCCCTGAAGAGCGCGATTTTGCAATACTCGGAAGAGACCGTCTCGTTACTGCTAGTATATGTTCATGCAATACCAGCAAAATTTAAGAATGATAATGCTAACATAACCCACGTTTACAGAGAACCCTTAAAATAAAATTAAATTTATTTCACACCGTACCTTTTGGAGGCGCGATGGAATCTAATTACACTACCTTAACCAAACCGTCACCACTTTCTTCCATTACACAAATTAATTTACACTTGCTAAATATTAAACTCATTTGGGTTAGGTCTTAATTTGTCATTCTGTCTTCATTATAAACTTTACGCCAGTGCTATGTTAAATTAATTACAATTTAATTAAACTGCTGGTTTAGACGAATGTTCCCCATGTGTTGTTTTAATTTTAATTCTTTTAATATTCTGCATTCTAAAATCGTAGAACATTACAATATTCTTGCCTATTAACCATTTTTATTTCGATAACTTCAAAAGTTATTATTGATATTTGCTCTGATTTATAGGAAACAAGTGAAAGAAAACATAAAAGTACGGTATTATTTCATTGTACATTACTAGGCATATTTTTCTTTGTATTCACCCTGGGGCTATTCTCTAAAAGAATGTAATGTTCACAAAGAGCGAATTTTGGTAAACCATCACATCAATCAAATAATTCTTGGCAATATAAAGTGATAGGGGCGTAAGTCCCTAACGTACGCGGCTTATCTAAATTCAAAAACGTGATATTTTACTGAAATTCTGAGATAAAAAAATATGAACAGCATAGTAAGCGTTGAGAATATTTCTTATCTTAATATCTAATCACGATATTTATTTATACAATAAACTGGGAATTTAAAAAAAATTATAAGGTTCTTTGTGTAAAAACACTTTAAAATCACATTACAGAAAAATATTTTGTAGAGAATAAGAGACTGTAGGATTAAACAGAAGAACTACTATTACTACTACTACTAACTAGGCTCGAAATAATAAAAAAAATCTATACTAGAATGTTTTTATATCTAAAATAAAGGAGATAAAATAGACAAAACCAAAGTCATAGACGAAAACACTATTTTCTTATTGGGTCTGACTGCTACACACCAGTTAAAGTTTGAAGAACTGATAAGAAACTTATCAACTTTTTCGTATCACGTAAAAATGTTATTAATAAATAATGTTATAATGTTTGGTATCAGTTTGGTTTCATAAAACCGGTTGCTATAAATCACTATAACAGCTTGAAGACCCAATCAAAAGGCAAACAATTTTAAGGCTTATCGTAGGACAGCGTATGTAACATACCCATTATGGCACCCCTATTAAAGCACTGGAGTATAAATAAGATGATCGATGTCGTTGTAGATCCAATGTTTGGTGGAACCACTAAACGAGTAAGCGGAAAACTGCCTTTATTGATATAATACATTACGTATAATATCGTGGTAACAAAATGAGGCTAAATTTATGTCTTTGTGAGGTGTTAATTTTTTTTATGGTTGTATGTTGTATATGGTAACATTTTTGTTCTATGAATGAGACTCATGCCCAATAATGAATACTATTGGAATATTATTAGCGTGAGTTCATTTTTGTATTTTATTTATATTAATAATATAGTTCATGCCAATATCATCGTACTGTATTTACTCGTTTTTATAGCAACAATAATTCATTATTTATTAATGTTATATTGCTTTTAAATTGGTTGTCTTATCTTTGTTATATTCTATGTATGTGTTGATTAATAAGTGACTAGAAATCTTTTCTTAATTCGTTTGTTCGAATTCATTCAGAAGTTTTTGAAGAAATTATATCAAATTAACCTTAAGCTGTTTTTATTTCATCTGAAATTTAAATAATCTCCATAGGAAAATTTATCTGAATCCGTGTTGGATTCAGATAAATTTTGATTTCTGAAAGGCATCTCATAATTCAAACAAAATTCTGTCTAAACCAATAATAAAATTGTTGGTAGATTTTATTGAACATGAGAGGAATACGAATTATAGATTTCCATGCCACTGGTATAATGGTATATTTTTTACTCGACTTGAAATATCGTGTGAAAGCAAAAGCCTTAATAATATGTCTTCCGTTGATTCGTTGTCAACTATTTTTCTTTTCTGTTATATTATAATAATAAGATACCTCACTATTTTTATAAATTATTATTTGGTCGACAAAGATCAAATTAAAGATAACAACTACCTTCTTTATTATAGTAATAAAAATATAGTGGCAGTAATTATGTGTATGTTTTTATTTGCATAGCATATTCAGTAAAAATATATCTTATGAGTAATTAGAAACAGATAAATATTATTTTTGAAGTGTAGGATAATGTAGATATATGTATATGTAATGTACGATACATTAAAGGAAAACGTACTTGACTTGACAAAGGATTCTATTTTGTATTCTTATAACATGAACGTTGTTGATTGATTAATATTGTATATGATGGCACCTTTCAACGTAAAAAGAAATTACACCGCTTTCAAGGGGTATGATTATAAGTGGCAATTCTAGACCCTCGGTATCGCGTGACAACATAATGGTTTCCACTTTATTTAAGTAACGACGAAACTAACAAACTGTACTAATCAAACAGCCTCATGAAAAACAATGTTCCTCCTAACAATTTCGAGGTAAACATCTCGGGGGCTTTGTACATTTATTTTTTTATTGTTATAATATTCTAGGCTATATACCGATAATATTCGCTGACAATATAATAGATACATTCCATTTTATTACTACATTGTTAACTTTGATACCATCATTTAATGGTATAATAGATTTTTATAAAATTTGGTGTTTGCTTTAACGGACGAATAGTACAATAATTTGAATTACTCTAATAAATTAACTTTTATATTATTCTATACATAAAATAAACAATATAATTGGCAAGTAAGCAGCTACTATTAGGTATTAACAGTACTACAGGAAAACAAAGTGATCAAAATTATGATCCATAGATTAATAAACGCAAAATCTTAAATCAACCCCTTAAATTAATATTAAAATGGTATGCAGATATTAAATAATTATGCAAATGTTAATCCAAGATACTTAGAACTATTATAGTGATGAACTTCTTAAATCTCACAATCCAAGTAATTTAAATTGTTCCTTATACATCAACTGGACCCTGCTGTTGTAGCTGTAATAGTCATTTTTATATTCATGACCTCGTGTAAAGCAAATTTTCCATAAGTGGAATTGGTAGTTATTACGGTCGTGGTAGATATGAGATAGTTTTTTACAATAGTATCATTCGAACCATCCCTATTACTGCCCCTACTCAACGTCGACACTTTTGAAGCTTCATTTCTCTAGTTCGATCATTGTTATTTACATTTGGTAAGCTTTGGTCGAAATATTATTATGATTGGGCATAGTGCTTGCCCAATCATAATAACATTTCGACCTATTAACTATTAACTATGTATATTGTAGCATTTGTCTCAATCATTACCGCTATTATAATATTTCCTCCGTGATTTTATATGTTAACATATACAAATATCAATAAACAATATAATTTAATAAAGTTATGCTATTACTCAAAAATAACCC